AAGATGTCTCCCACCTGACAGTTGGGTGAAATATGATTGGACTATGGACTGGGGTACCAAGGGGCGGGGTTTGAATCTTGTATCGATATCTATTGCTTTTGCGCCTTTTTATTCAGATTCAGCTTTGCTTCGCTTCTCATCGTTTGTAGCCAGTAAAAGTACACACTTAATTCTGAAACATGGAATTGAGTGGTTCCTTTCTTGGTTATTAAACGAAGGGGCAGTGGCAAGAACTAGAATTCATTACCAAATTGCTTCGCACTAATATTTGTAATTAACTGTAAATCTGAAGTGTACAGTTGCTAGAGGAAAACACTCTAGAAAACCGATTAAGGAATAGAGAGGTGTAAAGCTAGAGTTCAAAATATGAAGATTAGTTTAGCTGATTAGTTCCATGCAGTGGTGGGTTTCAGCCAGTTTGCACCACTTCCAAAGAACCGGTTGTTAACTTTCTGAGCAGTTGGGCGAACTGATTGTTGGAAGAAAGCATTAGGGCAGAGAACCAGTTGTTAAAATCATTTGAATCCCACCACTGGCTGCACATATCTGTATTTCTTAGTATTCTTTCCTCAATAAATGCACTTCTGCACTGTAATTATTATGTTAATCTTATTATTCATTGTAAATAATTTCACCTTAGAGAAATATGAAATGGAAACAACCATAGCAGGTTTCACCAAATTTGCTACTTTCAAGTTTGAAACCATGAATTGAGAGGAAGGGAATTGCAAATTCTTCGCAGAGTCTAGATAAGAGTTAACATTTCTTCAACATTCTCTCAGAGTTATCCTAGAATTGTGTAACAAACTAGGACAAGTTATAATTCATTCGAGATTAAATCTTTATTAAAACAGTTATTAAGTAGGATTAATAAGTGTAACTGTGGGCTGCATTGCTTTATAAGAAGTGCAACAGGCTGTGTATCTTAGTAGCAAGTGAGCTAATTCTCTATAACTATCAAAATAAAATTATGAAATGTTACAGAATTTCTGAATGACGGAATTAAAGGACAGTCACACAGGTGTTATCTATTGGAGTCCCATTCCTCTCTGATTTACAAATTCCTCTTTCTCTAATTCCTTCACTGCAAAGCAGACTTTCCTAATCCCATTAACTCTACACTGCAGCATGGTATAGAAAGTCCTTAGATGTGTACACGTATACATAAGCATTCTTATTTATTTATTTAGCCACATAACTAGCAGAATAATTCTAGACAACTGACAGAGATAGAAAGCTTCATATGAGCAAGGTTTAAAACCAATATATTGTCAGGTATACTGGTAACTGAAATAAGATGCCCATAATCTGTTCTATCCAAATATTAGATGGCTTAGTGTTTCTCAACCTTGTCAACTTGAAGATGTCTGGGCTTCAACTCCCAGAATTCCCCAGCCAGCGAATGCTGGCTGGGGAATTCTGGGAGTTGANTTTTTATTTTTTTTCTTTGATTATTGTTGTGTTGTAAGCCGCCCGGAGTCCTTCGGGATCGGGCGGCATATAAATGTTATTAAAACTAAAACTAAACTAAACTAAACAGCCTCTTTTGGCACTTGAGCAATGCTTCAAAATGTATTGATAGGAGGTACACAATAATGGCTTTATCTAAACCAGTGGTTCCCAAACTTGGCAACTTTAAGACTTGTGGACTTCAACTCCCAGAATTCTCCAGCTCTGCTCCAGCAGAGCTGGAGAATTCTGGGAGTTGAAGTCCACAAGTCTTAAAGTTGCCAAGTTTGGGAACCACTGATCTAAACCAGGAGTAGTCAACCTTTTTATACCTACCGCCCACTTTTGTATCTCTGTTAGTAGTAAAATTTTCTAACCGCCCACCGGTTCCACAGTGACGGTGATTTATAAAGTAGGGAAGTCATTTACATTTAAAAAAGGAAAACGCTTCAGTATTGGACAAAACCCCTACTGCCCACCATGAATGCTGGAACACCCACAAGTG